GGAAAATGTTGTCGACTAAAATGGTGAAGCTCAAAGGTCTTAGTTTTTTACAAAGTACAATTTCTCGAATCCTGAAATTAGGTGAACTCTAAAACGTTTACCATTTACAAAGTACAATAACACTCTTCATCCTCCTCTCCCTCCCTCTCCATATATCTTTTCCTAGCATTCTCTCAGAGGAAATCTGCAATGGCTGAAACTTCAGAGATGGTAAAGCTAAGTCTGAGACTTCTCATAGATGAAGAGAAGAACAAGGTGGTCTTGACTGAAACTGGTAAAGATTTCGTTGAAGTGCTCTTTAGTTTTCTCACACTCCCAATGGGTACTATTGTCCGATTGCTTGAGAAACATCGAAAGTCGCCTCAAGTGGTCGTTGGATGTTTTAACAATCTTTACCAAAGTGTTTCAGAGATGGGTCTTGAGAGTTTTCAGACAGAATCTTGTAAGAGAATGCTACTGTATCCTACCAGTGTGAATCATGATAAGTACCAAAAGATCAAGTTAAAAATAGATGACACACCGAGGCAGTCAAGTACTTTGTTTGTCCAAGTATTAAACTTAGCAAGCTATTATAGCATTTCTAACACTGAGGAATGTGTATGTGGAGAGTTTGAGAATTCAAGTATTATTAGAGGATTGACGAATCGGGAGATTTATGGAATTGAGGAAGAGCAAGTTGAAGGAAGGATTTTGAGAAATAGTAGTAATGATGGAGTTTTTGTTAGCCGTGAGACTTGTTTCATCATAACTGAAGATTTAAAAGTGTCTTCGAGCTCTATGGATAATGTTTTGAATACTCTCAGAGGCTTAGGCTACACAAATGCCTACAAGCTCGGTGAAATCCATCTTGATGTTGGTCTTAACGAGGTACTTTGTCTGTATCATCATGCTTTACTCGTTTTTTTGTCTTTGAATTATGGTTTTGAGTGTTTGTTTGTGTTATTGACAGGTACTCACTTTGCTAGAATGTGTATTTACTTTGGATTCTCCTTTGACCGATACATTTCTAAGGAAGCGTAGTTCGTTGCGCATGACCAGAACTTGTATACCGCTGAGTCCAACTGTGCAAGAATCTGGAGCAGGACCAGATCAAAGCATAAAGTTGAAAGCATTTGTTAGAAAACTGGATGGTAAGATTCTGTGTGTTGAATGTGGAGCAGATTTCATTGATCTTCTTCTTACTTTTCTTGTGCTACCACTTGAATCTGCTTGGAAATTTTGTGGAGATAGTATTAGTTTGGGTTGTATTGGAAACTTGTTCAGAAGCTTCTTCAAGAGTTTGAATGAAAGAACTGATGCTACTTCTTCCAAGTGTCTGCTTCCTTCGTTTTATAGTTGTCCTAAACAGTTACTTGATGTTGTAACTGAGCAAGAAGAAATCTATTACAGTTTCAATCGCTGCAGCGACGGTGAAACCTATGACTCTAAGTTCACTAGAAAGATGCCTGGTTGTCTTAAATCACAAAGGGAAAACAAGAACATGAACATGTATCTTGGATACAAAAAAGCTGATGCTGAAGTTTTATATATGAGAAGTTTTGGGTTTGTGAGGGATTATGCAAGGTTTTTGGTAACGGATGATTTGGTTATCAAACCGAAGAAGTCGGTTTCTAACATCAGTTTGCTAAAGTTGCAAATGCACTTGGAGGAGAAAGATGTTGAAGAACAAGTGATCACCAGAGGTATGGTTTCTTGTCTTTGACCCCTCAAAGGAAAATTTCAGTTTTTTCATGGAATCTGTCTTATACTAATTTCAGGCTATTACTTTACTAAGAGCTTCAATGGTGACATCCTCTGCTTTAATTACTTGTTTATGGAACTTGATTGCAAAAAAGGCCAAAGAAGAAACTTAAGGGAAGAAAAAAATTGATATTTGTTCCAAGGATCTACTTTCTCTATATGTTTATTTCCTGTTTAAAGTACTGTCGCTCTTGATGTTACTAGTGATGGTAATCGTGAAGAAACTCAAGTGGAACCACCTGTAATTCTTATGGTTTTTAGATTATGCTTCATCTACCTACTGTTTCTCCTTTTATTCCTCTGTTTTCTCAAGTCTGTTTTCTTACAATAACATTAACATTAATCTCAGAATATAAGTAGTTAAAAACAGAGCATTATACACACAAAAAAAAAACAGAGGAAGATTATTAGTCTCTCTGAACTTTCGGCATTAAAAACGATCACGTGTCAGACCACAACAGATAAATACTCTTAAACCAAATGTTACCAATTTACATATTTCTTACAAAAACATTAACATTAATCTGAGAATATAAGTAGTTTAAAACAGAGCATTATACACACACAAAAAAAAAAACAGAGGAAGATGAGACTTCCAATGGAATATATTTCCCGAGGAGATTCACTCAATCTGTATATGAGGAGGATAAAGATTGACTTATCTTTGGGAAATTGTAATCCAAATCCCAAGCTGTAACCTATACGTCACGGGAAAACGTAAAGAGGTATTTACATCTTATGGTTTTTGAGTTTCATAATGCACATTTAATATTCCAAGTGGAACCTCTTGAGATTCTAAACCACCATGTATCAATATATAAAGGCTTAGTCTCTTCCTTTCGTGACTGTAATTGCTACTCGTTTTCCTTCTCTTTTCTTTTTTGATTAACATTTCTTTGAACTCCAAAATGGCTAAAAGTGCAAAGTTTAGCTTGAAACTTCTCATCGACGAGGAGAAAAACAAAGTGGTTTTGGCTGAAGCGGGTCAAGATTTTGTTGATGTACTCTTCAGCCTTTTGACACTTCCGATGGGGACTATTGCTAAATTGCTGGAGAAGCATCAAAAGTTGCCGCAAGTTCTAGGCTGTTATGAAAAGCTTAACAAAAGTGTGACGAATCTTGGCATTGAAAATTTCGAAACTGAAGCTTGCAAGAGTATGTTGATATATCCAAAGAGCATGAAGGAGGTCCATTGCAGAAGGCTTAAGTTGAATATGGATGATACCAGATTGGAAACGGTGTAGATGGAGTTTTTGTCAGCTGCAGATCTTCATTCATTGTCACCGACGATTTGAAAGTGACATTGAACTCTATTGGTGCTATCGTCAACGTGCTCAAAGATCTAGGATATCAATGTTTTAGTGACATGCGAGAAATGGTTATCGAAGTTGGTTTCGAAGAGGTAATAAGTTCTTTCTTCTTTCTCATTGTTGTGCATAAAGGTCTATCTTTCTAATCTTATCTATGTCTAGGTGGTTGTTCTACTAGGATGTTTATTCACTACGAATGCTCCTTTCACCTATGCATTCCTCAAGAAAGATAATTTTCCATGGACAGAGACAACGTTGTTGTCTCCACTTGTGCAAGAAAGTAAACCAAGCAAAGTATTTCATGTGAAAGTTTTTGTTAGAAAGCTAGACAGGAAGATTCTTTACGCTGAGAGCGGTGAAGACTTTGTCGATTCTCTTCTAACTTTCCTTGTTCTTCCTCTTGAGTTGGCATGGTCGCTATCTAGTTACAATACCATCTTGGAATGTGTCAGAAATTTGCGCACAAGTAAGTGTAGACGAGCTATGGATTCCAATCTCTTTGAGCTTCCTGGATATTATGCTTGCAAAAACAGACTTCTTGACATTCAGCCTTCCCCATTCCTAACATTTCAGTGTTTAATTCCTAAAGATTATTCCTATGATTCGGTTTTAAAATTCACTAAGCGTGTCGAAAGTTGTTATTTTATTCCACAAGATATCTTGAATGTGTATCCAAATGATCCGAAATACAAGTCTGGCACTATGACACCTAGTGATGGGTTTTTGAGGAGAGGTACAAAGTTCATTGTTTCTGATGATCTGTTTATCACTACTATGAGTTCATCATCAACCATTGGATTGCTAAAAAAGAATGAGGTTGACATAAGTGACATCGAGGAGCATGCGATTAGCATTTCCAAAGCAGAGGTACGCTTGTGCTATTCATTATGCTTTTTCCGTTTGTCCTTGAACTTGTTTCTTCAGTTTGTCCATTTTGAACATGTTTTTTTTGTTGTAGTTCATTAGCGTTCTTAGAGCTTCATTGATCTCCTCCTCTGCATTAACCAATGGTCTCTCAAGCTTGCTCGTGAAGAAACCAAAGGAAGAAACTTGAATGCCAAAAAATTGAAGAAACTTGATGGAGTCTCCTCTGTTTCTGATGATCATATCTTGCAACTTTTAGATTCTGCAACCCTGTTTTTTCAAGTTTCGCTTTCTATTCTTCTGTTTTCACAAAGATTTTTTTTTTTTTAAGTTTGACATGCTCTTTCTTCTTTATAAATTATCTATGGCTTTAAGAATTCATAATTACATTTTGTTCTGTCTTATCATTTCATATTTCTTAACTATAAGGATCACAGAGCTGCAAAACCAAAATATTGTAAAGATCTGAATCAGAAGCATCTCTTGATGAGGAATCAAAGGAGACGAATTTTCTCTAGAGATTTATTGAATCTAGTCTCCCTAATCGATGCGCTCTGACTATGAAAACATCAAAAGATCAGTGAATTTGACAGAGAGCTTCTTTGAGTGAATTTGAAAACAAATTTAATGCAGTGGCATTATTATTATCTATACCAATCAGAATAAGCATTTTGTTAATTATATCATTACATATATTCACCTTCTGCTGTAGATTTATCCATCACTTCTAATTATTTACTTTTACATATTTGTCTACATAAATACACTACACTTCTTTGCCAAAACCTAAAGACTCTGACGTTTCCTCAGTTTTTTTTTGTAGTTTCACCTTCAATGCCTCAGTGCATAAGCCTAATCAAATCTCCCTATAAAATTTATTGTCTTTTGCAACACTTTTTGTATAGGGTTTTGTGATTTAAGCTCTATTGTGGATTGGACATGGTAACGGAATGGGGGAGTGTGAGATACATTTTTCTCGAAAATTTAATCAAACTCTTCAAAAAAGAGATACTTTTCTCGGAAGCTTAACCAGTGCAGTGATTAAACGAGTATTACTGGTGGTAAGTGGACGGCTTCCTCTTTAATCGATGCAATTTTAGGGAAAATCATACACAAAAATCCTTTGGTAATTATATTATACAAACTCACGCGGACATAGGGAAGCGCAAAGGTTTATGGATCTTTATGGTAATTGAGAGTTTAGATATAAATATAGGAGGAGATCGATGTGTTCTTTTCACAGTCATAAACTCTAATCATTTAAGTTTCTTTCTTCATTGTTTGTTGTTCTTGTATCTTCTTTGATCTTTCGATGGATAATACAGCAACGAAACACAAGTTTAGCTTGAGACTTCTCATTGATGAGGAAAAAAACAGAGTAGTGTTAGCCGAGGCAGGTAAGGATTTTGTCGATGTACTATGTAGTCTCTTGACTCTTCCTATGGGAACCATTGTTAGGTTGCTTGAAAAGCATCAGAATCCACAGTCTTCAATCGTAGGATGCTTTCATAACCTTTACAAAAGTGTTTCAGAGATGGACGTTGAGAATTTCGAGACTCAAGCTTGTAAGAATGTGTTGATGTTTCCAAGGAGTTTGAAGGAGAGTCACTGCAGAAAGTTAAAGATGAACGTAGACGACACCGAAGCGACCATGTTCTTTGTCTGTCCTAGTTTTAGGTCTAATGTTTCATGCTGCAAGGTATACAGCAATATCAGTACCTTGAGGTGTACTTGTGGAAGCTCAATGACCCGCGCGTTTCAGATTGAAGGAAAGGAAGATGATGGCTCTGTAGGAAATAAAGTTGATGGAGTGTTTCTCAGTTGCAGAACTTCATTTATCATCACCGATGATCTTAAAGTGGCATTGAACTCGATGGGTCTTGTTCTGAATGTTCTCAATGGTCTTGGCTATTCTGGTTTTGATAAACTGCAAGAAATGGTTATTGATGTTGGTTTTGATGAGGTAACTTTAATTTCATTGGCATTGTTATTTTTACTTTTTTCTGATTCTTCTGCTTACTCTTGTTATTGTTGCAGGTAATGAGTTTGCTAGGTTGTTTATTCACTTCGGAAGCTCCATTGACAGACACATTCTTGAGGAAGCATTGTATGACAAGAAAGCGTAAAATGTTGACACCTTTGGTGCAAGACAATATCGTTGCAGGAGAAGCCAATGAGTTTCTAACTTTGAAAGTTTACGTTAGAAAGACAGATAGTGTGATACTTTATGCTGAGTGCAGAGAAGACTTTGTCGATTTTCTATTCACATTTCTCGCTATACCGCCTGAGTTTGCTTGGGAACTCTCTGTTGACAATAAGAATATGGGTTGTGTTGGGAATCTTTGCAGAAGCGTGAAAGATTTGAGCTTTGAGAAGCGTAAAGAAGCTATAGTTTCTAAATGCATGCTTCCTTATTACTATGACATCAGTCCGCAACTGCTTGACATTTTCCTCGAGGAACGAGTAGAATATGAATGTTTGGTCATCCAGAACGGATTTCCAGGTTCTTGCAGGTTTGCTCGCAAGATTAACAAGTATGAGCTCTCGAATCGTGAAAAGATTGTGAAGTTATCTCCAATGGATCCAAAATCTGTTCTCTGCTCATCAGATCATGGTGGGGTTGGATTTTTGAAGGGAGAAACAAATTTCATAGTATCAGATGATCTGTTTATCACACCTATGAACTCATCTTCAACTATTTCGTTACTAAGCAAGTTGCAGATGAACATTAGCGATATCGATGAGCAAGTGATTAACATTAGCAAATCAGAGGTATGCTTTTTTATATATATTTTTTTCTTTCTATCCTTTTTGATTCTTGAGAAGATCTTACTTGTGAGTTTTACCATTGTTGTTGCAGGCTGTTAGTTTACTTAGAGCTTCTTTGATCACATCGAATGCATTGACCAATGGTCTCTCTAATTTCCTCTCAAAGATGAAGCCAAATGACTCTACTGCTCCTTCTTCGTCTAAGGTCTCAAAATCTGAAGAAACACTTTGAATTTGCAAAGTGTTGTAATTCTAATTGTGATTTCCGTGTGTTTCCTTTCCATTGCTACATCTACTTCATTTTCAAAATGTTTTAAGTTTAATAAAAAAATCCAAGTTTGATAATTGGCATCTTTCTATATGAGTTGGACTTTATATGTGTGTTTATGATAAACATTTAAAAGATTCACACGACAAATTCGGGTTCAACTCTTGGCAACGGAGAGTTCGCTTTTTTATTTTTATTTTTGGCTTTTCAATAAAAGCAATTTATATTTGCGCCAAAAAAAAATTAATGTCCTATGTTAATTCGTTAAATCCTCGAAATTTGAGCTCCATGTTCCACGCACGTCGCACCATATTTTAACAATTTCACATTTCAAACCATAGTATTAAATTTCCTAACTTTTTCGCTCATTTAGTTATTAAACCTATTTTAGTTATTAGTACTCATTAATACTTAAATGCCAAAAAAGAACTAAAAAAAACAACAATCGTTACAAGTTGTCCAAATAATAAAAGTTTTTCTTGGAAAACAAATTTACTTTCGGTTTACAATTACAATTATTATTGAATTTTTGACGTAGGTTTGGTTAATTAATTATCAAGGGATTATTTGTACTATTTTCTCATTTTTTTTGGTTACCTCGACTAACCAGAAACCACTATATATTGAAGACTTCGTCTAAG